TGTTAGCAGATATGGCATATCTTTCAGTTCTGAATTCAGTTAAAAAACAAAGTAAAAAAACTGAATCAGTTTTGTCTCCTTGAGATACATCAGGGATCAGTGCTGTTTAAAAAAAGGGACAGGAGAGGCTCATGTCTTTTTAGATTCAGAAGTCTGTGGAGCAGCCTGAGTGCACTGTGGAATGGAACAGAGTCTATTCTAGTCAAAGCATGGTTATTTCTTCATGCATCCTGTAACTCAGTACTATCCCACATCGTCCTTGAACAGGGCTGTTTCTTAAATGCCACGTTTATATTTATAGTAATTGACAAGTAAGAAATGATTTCTTGCTGTGGTTCACTAGGAGCCATTGACAGAGGAAGTTGGTAACACAACTTGGCTAAATTGAGGGAGGAAGAGTTCTTTTAGAATGGATGTTATATTGAAATGAACATGGATCCATCCATTAAAAAACTTTTTAATTCTGGTGGTACACATGCTCCAGAAATTGATTTATTGTTTAGTATTCTTGACTGGCTCTGCTGTAGTTCCTCTGTGCATGCAAATTCAAAATGCATACAACTTAATTCCTCACTTGCTTCCAACCTCTAATTTATCACAATGGAATCATTGTTCTCAGGTTCACTGTGCAATTACTGACTGCCTGCTTGAATAGATGCACCTTTCTCTTTCTAAAAGTCAGGCTGCTGGGTTTTCTTTTCTGCAATCTAAGTTGGAGGCAAGTGCATCATGGATAATCATAGCATGGCAATGAAAAAGATGTGCTCAATTCCTAATTTATCACTCTTGGTCTGCATGATGAGTTCTCATATTATTTTGGTTCCTCTGTTTATGTTACTGTGTAGTTTGTTTTTTTTGGGAATGAATCCCCAGTGTGTATGATCAGTAAGATAAAAGCCTTTCTTTTGTGCCTTATGAGCTGGTTGATTGTGCAGCAGACCCCAGAGCTTTATTCTGTGACTGCTGTTTACTTGAGTATCAAGTGCTTACCCTCTCCTGCTTCCTGCTGAGACTTACCAAGAGTTTTTATCTTCAACCGAACTGCTTTATTTTCCAAGGCTGTTTTCCTGCAAGCAGAAAATAGGATCTGGAAACATATCTATAATAAATCTCATCTCCTACATTGTGTAGTTGCTTATGTGCTTTGTGCACTTCCAATTTCAAGGGCAAGGAGGTCTGGTTGTGTTGCCTCAAATACATGTTACAGTATTTTCATAGCATTTCTAGGCTACACAGGAAAGCAAACAACTTCTGAAGCCTTTATTTCCAAATACTATGGAGAATGTGAAAGAGCAATTGAATTACAATGTGCCTCAGAGAAAGTAAAAGGAAAATTGCTTTTGTAAAGAAATCACTAGTATAATTTTGTCACTTTGCTGTTTGTACCTGCCATTTTGGCCCCATACATTAATCCTAGCAGAAAACTATGTAATCACCATAATTTATATAATGGGAGAGGAAATGAAATGAAAACAATTTGTGGAAAAGAAATGGAAATGCAGTATTATAAATAGTGAAGCCCGGAAGAGTAGGAAATGGTAGTGAAAGATGAACCAGTTTAAATTTAAAGTAAATTTAAATAAAATTGGAAAAAATAAAATTAAAGTTTTCATGATACTTTTATGCCAGAAATGAGTATTGGCTGTTTATTTCTTTCAAATACTGTATAATTAATTAGTTAATAATTTTGGATTTAGAGGAGGCAATATGATAATATGTTTTGTTTTTCTAATAACAGTTGCATATTTCATTGTTTTTATGATTCTTATAAAGGGAAAGGATGGATTGGTTATAGTTTATAATGTATAACATTATTGCTTGAGTATGTGGCAAAAAATTAGTATTTTCAGAGTAGCAGGATGAAATGTGTGCTTTTAACTTTTTTAGCTCAGCAATTAAAATCACAATGGTCATCACAAGATAAAAGAGCAATGTCATGTTTAATGAGTATTTAGTATTTCATCTGGAAATAATACTGAGTTTCTGTGAGAGCTGAGTTTTGAAGTCAAGCTACAACATTTAAAGCAGTTGATCTCTTGGTAAAAATAATTTCATATAAATGTGTCTTGCTTTGGCAGATGTATAATAATTTCTAGTCTTAGAATACTTGATACATGTGTTCCAATGCCTGTGAATGAAGATTTATATATATCTCAGTCTCTGTATTTTTCAGTGAACTGCTTCCTATGCCCAAATAATTTATTCTGTACTAAATATGATCTTTTTCCATGTAAATATTGGAGTTTATTCTACAAATGCTACTTGTAAAGGTATTTATTACCAGGTTAAAGTTTAGCATATTTTGGTATTTTAAGTGAAATTTTTTAAATAGTTCTAAGACAATTTATTAAAAAAATACTTTGAAATTCTTGAAACCGTGACAGATTATGGAGGTGTGGCCCTTATCTTCAGCCTTAGACTGGTTTTGAAAAGAAATCTGTTTTTCAGGTTCATGTATAGATGCCACTCAGAAGAATATGTTTGGGATCCTCTTCTGGTAAAGAGATTGTAATTCATGTTCCTTTTTTTTGCCAAAGAAGGCAAGATTCTCAACATCAGTCACTTGAATAGGAAGCTTTAATGGCCCTAGAATTTGGAAGAAGAAGAAAAAAAGACTAGAAAGGCCTTTATTTTCACACAAGTTATTTTTGATACACTTTACTCTGTCAGTTGAAATTGGAACCCTGAAATGCCCATCACCCTGGAGAATCAGCTGATCTGACACCTGAGTCTTGGGCAGGGAGATGCAAACTCAGATGCAGGGGACTCATCGTTTTGCAAACCCTCATCTTTTCAGTGATGGTGGCTGCCTGGCTGGAGCAGGCACCAGCAGCTGAGCAGAATTCCTCTCCAGCTTTGGACAGTGGAACTCTCTCTCCCATGAACCACATTGTTTTCACTTACCCCAGGTTAAACAGTGGAAATACACAGGAATGGGGAAGAGCTTAAGAGGCTCCCTAAGGAAATGCAGACATGATGGTGGCTTTGCAGTGATCCTCTGATAGGATCTGAAGCCTTTTCCTTCGTAATGAAATAGAGAAGATTCTCCATTTGTGCATACAGCATAGTTAACATCTCTGTCCCTTGGAGGCACAGCCTGGTGCTTGTAACCCGAGGCAGTTCTGTTACAGCTCAGCATTCCCTGCTTGGCTGAGCATCTCACCATGATGCCCAGGGAAAACTGATGGAGCTGGGTAGGAGCAGGGGGAGAAGCACTGCACTGAAGTGGGATCTGACAGGAGAAGATGCTCCCTTAAGTGCTTGTGATAGTGGGGCCCTGGGAAAATGTTAAAGATAGACTCTGAAAATGTTAGACTTTGTGTTTTGTCAGATCAATGCACCTGCGTAAGCAGTATGATAAATGATATAATTGTTAGATGTGATGATTGTTTAGTAATTAAATATAATTATTGTATAATCATAAGAAGAATCATGAGAAACTGTGTTAGAAATTTAAGGGGGAGCCATGAGGGGCCATGCTTGACTGAAATCTTTGTATAGAATAGAGCAATATAAGTTCAATAATTAACATGAAAGTTATATCACGATAGAATATAAAAACGAGTTCATCTTGAATGTATGGTCGGAGTCAGATTTGGGTTGAAATACCCCTGACACCCAGAGCTCTTAATAAAAGCACCGACATATAATCACTTTTGTGATTATGTGTTTCTGAACACTTGCTTAACTCTTGGTCTGTTTTCCTCAAAACCTGGTTCTGTAATTAAAACTTTACATTAATGGGCACTAGACGAAGTGAATTTCCTCAATCAAAACTGCCTTGCCCATGCAACTCTAATTTCAGAAAGCATTGCAACACCACCATTACCTGGGCAAAAAAGGGCTGATGGAAAGTAAAACAGTGGAGAGAAATGTGTTACCTGCTGAATTGTCCCTTGGGTGTCATCAGGGATCTCATCCACAAGAGCGGATCACTTGTTCTAATTCATATAATCGAGGGAAATATGCAGCTTTAAGGATGTGCTATTTCCAATTATGTAGCTTTTTTTAAATGAAGCATAAACTCAAAAGTGCTGTCGGACTTGCTTTACCTTTCTTGTGAAAATTGAGTTTTTGTACTTAATCTCTAAAACATGACAGAAAATATTGGAAGCATGTACCACCTGTTTTTCCTTTCATCCTGATTCATTCATTAGCTTCCTCATACCAAAAGCCCTCCAAGACATAATTAACCCTTTTTTGATACCGTGAAACTTGAAACAATCATTAAAACTCATTAAAAGAGAGAAACTTACTTTCAAAAGCAGTGTAAGATTAAAATTTCCCTGATTTTTTAGACTTGTGATTAGGGTGGAATACTAAGGGTATGGCCCTCATGGTTTCAGTCTTTACTGGCTAGTCAAGTAATTAATGATAATTGGTTGCTTTGCATTGCAGAACTGTGTTTCGTGATATAAAATCTTTTGATAAAATAATTTTCTTTAATGGAATGTTGTCTTCTGAGTATGCATTGTGTAATGATACTGCCAGCAATTCCTTTTTGTCCAGTAAGAAGAAAATATAATTGAAGATAAAAATACATTACCCAAAGTCTTGCTTTTTTCTCCCTTTTCACATTTTAAACTCCAAAGGTATTATATTGTACAACCGTAAGATATTTTATAATCCAGTTTTTACTGAAGAGAACATTTATAAGAAAATAGTTTTGTTGTTTAGCTTTCTGTCACAGATCTGATCGTACTGTATTTTTATATGATGTTGCTAAACTTCTAATTTTATCTTAAAACTATGGGAAAAACAGAACCATGAAATGTATGTGCTTTTAATTTTTTGTCAACTGTACTTTGAAACTGAAGTCAAAGTAGTTGTATTTTCTAAAATATATTACTGGGAAACAAGTAACAAGTTGTATCAAGTTACCAACTTGATACAACTTCAGAATGCAAAGCTTTCTTAACTACAGTGATTTGCTGTAGAAAATTATTATTGAAAAAAATACTGTGATTCTTTGTAAAGGTGTCCTTATCCTTCTTTTTAAGGTTTGGGATGCAGTAGATACAGGCTGCTGTTTAAAAACCTTCTCCTGTCACTCCTGTGCCGTTCGAGCTGCCCGGTGGTCATCCTGTGGAAGAAGGATCCTCAGTGGGGGCTTTGATTCCATGCTGCATTTAACAGATGTGGAAACAGGTAAAGGCCATGAAGAATGCATTACAGCCATTTCTTTATTGTGTACAGATCACTTGGGACCTTGCTAGCCTTACTCTTTCTTCTAAAATATAGACAAATCCATAGGTGAAAGTTAGAATTCTTGAAATGTGACTGTACTTTAAAAATGTGTTTTGGCAATTAAGAGTAGTTGGGGAGGTTTGAGAAAACTGAAATATCTTGAAGTCGACAATCACATGTAATTTATGTTGTCAGATACTACACAGATGAATGGAATGAAATGTGTATTTTTATGCTCTGTCACCATAATTCATTAAAGTATTTGAACAGCCTCTTAAGACTGACTTCAGTAACATTTATACATATATTTAGTTTAAACATAGGCTTGTATCTCATTCTCTGTTGGGTTGATGTTTGTGTTTGAAGTTAATTAGGTGATTTTTTCTTTTTTCTGAATAGGACCTTAATTAGGAGTATAGAAACTTAAATTCTGGTATGAAACCTTGAGACTGAACTTGTGTTGCTTTGATGCATTTTTGAATTTGATTTGGGATTTGATTGTTGTAACCTTAACAACTAATTTCCTGGATGCTGTGTCTCCTCCTGTCTCCTTCACAAACTAAAGTGCTTCTGTCAGCACTTCTGTATTCCTTCTCTCCTTAATGTGTTTCCAACATCAGCAGCTTTCACTGGGACTCTGCATAATAGGATATCTCTGTGTGTAATATATGAATTAGATCCAAAATGGGACATTGTCAAGGGAAGAGAGGCAATTTTACATTTCCCCCTCAGTTTATTTTTAAGTGTTTAACTCCTGCAAAGGTGCAATATTTTTTATAAGACTACAATAGAAATCCTTACAAAAATTACAAGCGGTTTTTGTCTAGGAGGATTTTCTCTTGCATAAAAGAAAGAACTACATTGTATGTGAATAACTGGAAAGCAGAAATCCTATTCAGAGGAACTGAGAAAGCAGCCAAGAAAATTTTAAAATATTGTTCACATGAGAAAAAGGTTCTTTTTCATGCTCCAAGAATTTATTTTTCTCAACAATAATTGTACCAGAAGTATTTGAATACAGTGATGGCTGGAAGGGAGCTGTTGCAGTGTAGGAATGTAAAATATGTTACAGAATACTGGTGTTTTCAGAATATTCAGCTTTTTTCATGGGGAAAGAAGCTTTAAATACTTGGTGTAATAGTACATGAGGTTAATATACCAAGTCATTAATTTGTCAGATTTCTACAGCAACCTTTGTAGTCCCACATATAACTGAACCTTACTTATCCAAGTGGATTTACTTTTGTTGGTAGTGCTTAAAAATTCTAAATGGAATGGCTATCTTCATAATGGGATTTGTAGCAGCTGAATAGATTTTGTGTGCCTGAATCACTTTTCACTATTCTGGGAAAAATCTTGTAAAATTATAAGGAAAATTCCAAAGATACATAATTTAAATAATATTCTTTAATTTCCAATATCTCTTCAGCTTAATTAACCAGTAATGGAACAGAAGTCTGGATTAAGTTGATTATAGTGATTCATTTATACTTCTCTAAGAAATGACAACAATAACAAAATACATTTACTAAGTGTCAAAGCAGATAAATTTGTAAATGGTTCTTTCCTTACTGACTTGTGAGTTATAGGGTTTCTAGCTACTTCAATAAATTGTATGTGTGAAATGAATGCTTATATACTTGGAAGTATCAGGTATTCATTACTGTCTTATTTAAAGAACACAGAATTCCTTGTAGTTCCTCTGAACTGCAGTTGTGATTGGACCTTTCACACCCGATTTGGAAAAGCATAATAGGAGTGATCAGAACTTTAGTCTGATTTCGTATGTATGCAAGCCAGTTTCTGAGCTCCTTCCCTGTTGTAAAGTTACTCTTCTTTTCATACATTTCAGTCAGTTCTGTTCAGAAAGACAGGGCAAGCAGTTGCCTCTGGAATCCAAATCAATTTGATATAAAAAGCCTCATTTCCATTTGAAAAACACTAAGGCATCTATGAGATTTTGATTTACATTAGTTCACTGAATCATTCATTCCTCCTCACTCTTCATCAGTGCTAAGATGATTTCTTCTTTGATTAACTTCAGATAGATGTTAGAACTGTTCCTTCATATTGGACTTTCATATACTTTTTTGGACTTCAGTCCTAATTACTTTCCATTGCTAGTGTGAGCTAACTACCAGTGTGTTTAAATGTAGTAAATGCATGCCAGTGAGATTTTATAAATAATAATGCTCTCTTTCAGGCTCTATGCTCTGGTATATTTTGTTCTGGTTCAACATTTTTTCCAGTAGTTTCCTAAAATCTAATCTTTCTTGTCTTGGTTTTCAGTATATGTTTTATATATTACATCTGTGTTATAAAAATTGCTACATGTCCTTCACTAAAAGAAACCTAATGATCTATAAAGAATGACTTAAAATTTAAAAAAGGTTGCAAATACAGCTTAGTACATGCATGGTATTGAGCTGCTGAACTGTGGGGGATTTTTTGTCATTTTCTGTTGGTTTTCTGTTGGGAACATAGTTTCTGCCCTACTAAATTGAAATTGTAATCTTGCTAATTGTTCTGGGTCTGATTAAGGCTAGTTATGATATTTCTCAAAGGAATGTGTCAACAATTTTTTAACAAACAGCACTAGAGTAAATTCTTCAGGAAAATTTCTTTCCAAGATTGGACTTCAGTTTGGGTATCCCATGTGCTAATATAGTGCATCTTCTAGAGTGGGTTTTTTCCTACTTTTATGATCTGAACAACATCAGAATAGAAGCAAACACTGAAATCTCATTAGTCATGAAACAGAATTTTTGCTGTTGGCAGAGAAATCCTGATATGAGGCTAGAAGACACATCCATGAAATCTTATGCTGCAGTTTTACACCACCAAACCCCTTGCCCTTGTCACGTGTATGAAATGAAAGTTCTTACATATAAAAAGATCTAAGATACTCCAAGCATAAAAAAGAGGTGATAGGAATCTCAGGAAGTTCAGCAAGGACATGATCTGGAGTGGAGTAATCCTGTGCAGCAGAACAGACTGATGTTAAACTGGTTAGAAAGAAACTTTGCAAAAAAGTACCTGGAAGTCCTGGTGCTGCATGTGAATCGGCAGCGTTGTCAGCAGCAAAGGAGGTCAACATCATTCCAGGCCAGATCATGAGTATTTACCTAGCAGGTAGAGAAAATGATACAGGCTCTTCTCAGAGATGTGCAGTGAAAGGATGAGAGGCAAAGGAACGGTGTAGGAACACAGGAACTTGTTGGCTCAGCTCAAGGGTGATCAAATACTAAACCAGGCTGTTCAGAGAAGCTGTGGAGTCTGTACTTGGAGTACCCAGAACCTCAGTGGACAGACCCTAGATCCTTTAGGAATCTGCTGCAGCTGGACATAATTTGAGTAGGGATTACGAGTAGATGATCCCTGGAGGTCCAACCTACAGGATACTGTGATGAAGAACAGTACAAGAGAAGAATTCAAGTAAATGAGGTACAAGGAGTTCTCTTACTGTGGTTTGGATAAGAGATAATAGATGTTGCTGTGCAAGTCTTTTTTAAATTCAGTTTTTGTAGATCATCATATATTATCTTCAAGGGCCATCCAGTGCCTTAACACTAGGATGTGAAGCTAAGACTCTTCACAAACATGGTTTTCTTAAAAGCTATTGTACACATTCAGTATGGGTTGGACCCAAAATGTGCATTATTTTTAAAGAACTGAAGGTTATGCATGAGTCATTCACATGAGTGGTTCTGTGATCAGTTGCAGTTTGCATCAGGCAAGTTCAGCACTGCACTATGGAGATTCATGAATATTGGTAGATCCAAAATCTGCAGATTTACTGCCTGTTACTGGCTAATATTTTTTTATTGTCCTATTTTAAATACACTATTTCTTTATAAAAACAAAGTCTTTTGAATATTTTCACAAATATGATAGTAATGCAGCACTCTGAGACTGCCTGCTTTTGTTTTTCTCTAATAACACACAGTCATTTTCTATTACTGGTAGTTCAGACACATTGTTATTTACAGAGTGTTAAATAGTGCTATATTCTGAGAGCACTGAAAAAAATGCTTTTAAAACTTTCTAGGTCAAATAAATTTGACATTTAACTTCTGTTATGTCCAGATGCAATGGAGGTGCTCTACCAACTTTGGAAGGGTAATTGTATTTTTAGAATTTATTTATAACTGTTTTATTTTTGGAATGCATGTTTTATTAATCAGTAGATTTTTCATTAGTCACAAATGAATTGGTATAATAGCATAGGCAGAACATTGGCTGGGTTTTTTTACTATTTGCATATTGTAGATACTTTTCATTTCTTTAATATTATGACAGAGGGAATGTTCCAAGAAATTTTGGCACATTTCCTAAGTTGCCAAATGCTGCAGTTGTATTTTAGTTCATGGACTAAGCTTGCTTTCAAATATAATTTCCTCAGAGTTATAATGAGAGAGAGAGTTTCTTAATGGAACATCTTGTACCTACCAAGAAAATTTTCTTTTTAATGTATTTTTTTCTGTTCTAATTTGATAGTCCTATAGATATAACATTGCTATTTTTAATGTACTCATATTTGTTCACATAGGAGTTCTAGTTCTCTTACCTAAACATCACCCCAGGAAAACTGTGGCATTCCTCTGTTCCTCCTTTTCTCTCCCAGTAGTATTTAGAGAATATGTTTTAATATGCAGAAAGCTTTTATATGGCACCTCAGAAAAAAAAGCCCAGTTGATTGATAATGTTTTTGTTTGCTTATTTATTTTTTTTCTTTGGAGTGTATGCAGGCACCTTAGATGTGAGGTCAAAGGTTTCCCCCAAAATTCAGCAGTTTTATGAAATAAGTTGAACATAGCACTCTCCAGCTAGGAGATAACAGCATTTTACTTTTTATGCTCACTGCTGTAAAGCCTTGCTGAAAAGTATTTATTGTGGGGACGTTTCAAAAGTTAAAAGAGAAAATTATTTAATATTTCAAACATCTGCACTTGCTGAGAACTTGTGAACATTTAGGGACAAAAACTAGGAAAAAATATGTCATCAATATAACTTTGGTTCTTGAGAAAATAATAAAGCCAATTGTCAGCACACCAAGAATGGAGAAGTAACAGACAGCATTGATTTGTTAGGAACAAATGATGTCTAATCAATCTAATTTGTTTTCACTATTGTGCATGAGAGGGACTGTGACTGTAATGAAATATTTTTGTGTATGTTGTTTTACGTCTTTTTCTAAGCACAGAGGGGAATCCATTTTGCTAAGCAAGATTGCTCTTGTGTCCTTGTAAGTCTCAGGCTTCACCTTTCTTTACAGAAAGACAGATCACAGATTAGAGTAAGGAAGTAAATGTTTTAGGGTTTTGCAGTAGGTGTGTGAACCTAAGGGCCACTAAGCACAGTTACAGAAGCATCCTGTTCTGAGCAACTGTGCTGATGTTCTGTGAAAAATTCAGAATGTTAAATAGCCTTTAAAACATCTGATTTCATAGCTGAGCAGTTTCACAGTAGGCTGCTGCATAAAGAAGCAGAAACATATATTCAAGATATTTTTAAAGATTTTTTTCCGTATTGTGCTTGTTATTATTATGTTACTGGCAAGCCTTTAATGCTTGAAGAATTTAATTAAAGCCTTTAAAGAACATAAAACATGCTGCAAAAGATATAGTAGATATTGTTACTGAAATTGTGAAAATTAAGGATTAGAGAAACATTTGATTTCTTCTTTGGAATAACAATCTCTTATAAAGGAAAATGATATGTGGTATGGATTTTCCCTCAATTAGCCAAAGACATTTTCAAAAGGCCTAATTTTCTAGTCTATGAGTTGGTTATGCTGCCTTTAGGAACTAAAATGCAATAAATATATACAAAATAAAGGTATATACAAAAATGTGCTGATTTATACCTGTTATGGATGGGGGTCTTCTCCTTCAAGGCCATCTGTTTCAATATATAAAATAAGACCCTTCCAAAGGTGAATATTTCATTTAGTAAAGTGAGTAATTGTAGAAAAAAAGATGGGTAACTGAAAAAAAAAGATTTCCAGAAAGGTGGAGGAGGATTTACAGCAAACACTGAACCTGGATTTCCCAAGCTGTGGGGTCGGTTCCATCATAGCAGCATTACAGCCTGGAAAGAATAAATTCTGCTCATGTTAGTATAGCACCTGAAGCCAAGTTTGTGCAGGAAAAGGCTAAGAGTTGAGTTCATTGCCTCAAATTACTGAATTGCATGAGCTAATATGCCCCATGTCATCTTTTGCATTGACCTGTTCTATCTCTCAGATGGATATTTTTCCTAAATTTCTGAGTGAATTGTGAATTGTGAATAAATTTTAGTTGTGACAATAAAGAGTGTTTCCTTTCTCTAAAACCTTTTGAGTTTGTTAATTGCTGCTTCTCAGCCTGTCTACATTCCAGTCTTGCCCCTTTTCTGTGACATGGCAGTAGAATGGAATTTGTGTGTACGTCTAATAACACCAAACTCTTCAGAACACTGTTTACTCAATTCTCAAAAAGAGATGTTTGATTGAATTTCACTTTGGGGAGGCAATGAGAGAGGGAGGGTTGTCTTGCAAAGTATTAATTGGAGAGCCTGAGCTTTTAGTATTAGTTTATTGTGATTGTTGACTTAAGTAAAAAAATTTATTAATATCTGCAGCATCAAATCATAAGGTGGCAGCTTAAATTAAGAAAAAGAATGAGGTTAAAGAATAAAGAGGTAAATAAGATGCTCAGGTTGTTTGCATTAATTTTATTTGTTATTACATTGTAATGTAGAGTTCATAACACTGAGATTATTATGGTTTAATTATGTTAGTGACTGTCACTGAGAGCTTTTGGATAAATTGCAGCTTCTAGCAGACAAGAAAAGGGCAAATTCAGTGCCCACTCTATCAAATAGGGAGAGACAGAGTAGGGAATGTAGAGCATTTTAGTTTCTGAAGAAAATATCAGGCAAATTATTAAATTACTTGGAAGCAGTTGGGAATGAGATAGAAAAATTGACTAATTAATAACAAATTATGTTAAATCAATCTTTCTATGGAAAAGGTAACAGATCTTGTAGTTAGTAGATGAAATACATCTTGAACTAAATGCACATCTTTTTTGCCTGTGTTTTACCTGACTTTCTCGTGTCTTAGGCTAAAGAACACAAGTATTTATTATAGAAAAAGCAGTTTTGAGAAGTCTTGTGGAGGTAAACACATAGCAAAGCCAGTGATTGCAAAATGAGGACTTCCACTGAATCAGTTATGGATATGTCTAATGCCATTTGGACAACACTTTGTGGAGAACAGTGATCTCTTGATGAGTCCTTTATAAAGCTGTGTGACAGGATTAGTACAGGTAGGCTGCACTTCTGCTAATTTCTGACTGCAGTCCCATTGAAAACTTGTTGATTATTCTCCCAGAGTTTTTATTAAGCAGGGAAATAGTAAGAAGAAAATTCCTTTGGGAGTAAAGTGCTATTAAACTGAGTAGTGACCCTCCATGGGGTAATTCAGTATTTTCTCAAGTGCTGGGGGTGGGTAAGATGCCTGTGTATGTGGCTTTTGTAAAGCCTCCCCCAAATGATGCCTGGTAGTAGTGTACATGAGAGTAACATCTTGTTGTTCCTATAACTGATGATTTTAATACTTTCTTCCTTCCCTGTGGAGCTTTTTGTTTTTTTTCCCCTGTAGCTGTTGGGGTTCTGAAAGCTCCCATGGCAAGGGATGGTCACAAATATGACTTGTGGAGAAAATCTCTGCTGCCCTGATGACTTTTTTGTCCTTTGGGGGAAGGAACTCATGGACAAAATTAAGTGTTTCACTTAGTGGTGACAGAGAGATCCTTTAGATCTTGCAGTGGCAATTGGTGGCGAGTCATTTAAAAAAGGACAAAAATCCCCTACAAATACCAGAATTCACATAGAACAACACTCCCCCCTCCTTTAGTCTCTCTGTAATCTTTTTCCCTGTCTTTTCCCTTGATGAGCACATGTGATAAAGTAAAACCTTTCTCTTCTTTAAACTGAATAAATAAGTAATTTTACAAGTCTTAGCCTATTGACTGTGTAAGTTGAGTTCAGGAGATGAGGAAAATGGAACTGATGATGAAATCAAATAAATCGGCCCCAGAGAATGAAATGAGCATGAAGAAATCTGTGTGAATGATTTTCAGTATTGTACACCTAACTGCAAGGCTTTACATCTGTCAGTAATGTTTTTAGCTGAAAGTTGTTTAAAAAAGCCTGTTTTAAGATAATCCTCACTTGCATAAAATGCAAATTAAAGAATATTTTAAGAAGCTTTTCTCATAGTATTTTAAAGGATTTTTTTTGTTTTAGTTCTGCAGTACTTCCTTCACTGTTGCTTACAGCAGTAACTTGATTTAATGGAGATCTTTATATGGGATATGTAGAATATAAATCACAGTTGTTATTGTGAAAGTGAGCAGATATATTTATCTTGGTTCATACTGCTGTTCCAAAAATTTTATTTCAGTGAATGTACAGTAATATAATGAATTTGTTAGGATGAAAGGAAGCAGTGAACTGTGGAAAAGTCCTATAAATTAACCTAGCTGAATTCTGTTGTGTTCCAAAGTGCAGGCAATCCAATTGATACTAACCACAGGATCCTGTGGAGATTAGTGTGTACAATTAAATGTTGGCAACAGTGTATCCATGGGAACAGCTATTGCCTTCATATGGTGGTTTGCAAATTATTTCCTACTTCCAAGATGAAGTTTCACTCCTACCTTTGCTGAAAGTTAGGTAAACAACTCAAGAGCTGTAATATAGATTGAGATGTAGTATTTCTGTACAGACAATGTTTTATTCAAGTTATTTTTGTCTCACTGGAAAAAAAAAAAAAGACTGGCATCTCAGTAGGAGAACATTCAACTTTTAGATTTGGAGACTTCTTCCTGTGTGTTGTCTGCACTGTGACCTAGTGGAGCTCTTCTCCTCAGTGTGGGGAGCCACTTGTTGTCTCTTTTCAGTAGGAAGCAGTCAGTGCTGCAGAGGCCCATGAGCAGGAGCAATTTCAAGTGGATAGAAATTAGTGAGTTGTCTTTTATTTTCGTTAAATTAGACTAGCCCCAGATATTTGAAGTGTGTAATTATAAGCATGTTCACTTTTAACAACCTTGATATCTTTGAAACTAAGTTGAAATGAATAACATATTTCATTTTCTGCTCAAATTTTAATGTGTGCTTGTTATTTGATTTTAGGGAAGCAGATATTTAGCAGCAAAACAGAATTTAGGATCAGTGCATTGAAGTTCCACCCTACAGAGTCAAATGTTTTCGTTTGTGGAGGATTCAGCCCAGAAGTTAAAGCATGGGATTTAAGGACTTCTAAGGTAAAGCAAATCTTTTTTCTCTTTCTCTTTCTCTTTCTAAATGTTCCCTAGGTTGTGTGTGCTGTGTGTTATCAAGGTGCTAGATGTACCTACTGGTCTTTCATTAAATTGTTATTGTGAGGTCTTTTGCTTTTTCACTGTGTTCCTATTCATTGAGATGAACCTCTGTAATGTGTTTTAAGTGCTATGAGGAACACTTAACAGAAAAATATTTTTTTTTTCTTTCTGTAGATGTAAGTTACATCTAGTTGAATTAAACAAAGCAAATAGCTCATGTGAGGATTGTGAAAAGCAAAGAAACAGTACAGCTGATTTGCTCCTCAAGCTCTTACCTGTGGGTCAGGATGTGTACCTTATGCCTGTAACTTTTGTATAGAAGCCTGGAGCAATTTTTACATTTATGAACAGCCACAGAAGTGTGAAATGCCTCTGCTTTTACGTTGTCATGAACCACAAAGAGCAATGTGCTCCCAGCAGCCGTTGAGAGCTTAGGTAAGACCAGAGCTGTACTCTGCCAGTGGAAGTTTAAGGTAAGCAACATCCTCATGCACAGAACAGCTCAAAGAGAAGCAGGGACTGCAAAGTGATTAGTTCTTTGTTTTCCTTTGAATTTCTCTGTGGGTAGATCCTACTCATCATAGTTTGCCATCTGTTTGCTCTTCAGGATGGCAGAAGGGACTTGAAAAAGATGAGGTAGCACAGCCACACCTTGTCTCTGTCTGTGATGTACTAAGAATAATAGGTGAGAGATAAAGGGAAATGCATTTCAGGTATGAGGGCTCTACAGGAGAGCTCTGAAATCATTGTGGGAGTTGCTCTGTTGAGGAAACAGAGTATTCTTGTGCAATTAACAACCAAGTTCCTGTGCTGCAGTTGCATTTGTCACTGATGTTTGAGGAAAGCATTTAATTATGTAGGATCTCTACCACATGAATAAGTTCTTAAAAGAAAAACATTAGTAAATACATATTGAGACTGCCACATCTGAGGCTACTCTGAAAATAAAATTACTGTGAGTTTCAGAGTTACAGTGTTAGTATGAAAACCTGTGTAAAAGTGGATGGGATTCATTGCATCCATCTACTTGTATGATGGCTAGTTTTACTTCATAGGGATGTGAAGGAAGATGGTTCTAGTTTTAAATTAGCAAAAATATAAGCGCATTTAATAAAAAATGCCTATGTAACTTTTTAAAAAATGAAATTAGATTTTCCATTTTCACTGTTCCTCCTGGCAGGGAACTGAAGAAGTAGGACTAATAGAAGTCTTTACTCCTGAAGAGAAGGATCAGTGGTTTCACAGCATGGAAATGATATAGCAAATACAGTTTTGCTTTCTTGAGATTCTCTCAGTAGAACTTAATTGTGGGGAGGAGGTGCAGTCTGTAATTGAATCCTTCAATGTCCTTTTTAACATAGAGAACCCACTGTTGTCATGGTATGCTGAACTGCCTTTAAAGGTGCTTCAGCAACTAAATGAGTGTCATCTTTTTAAGGCTTAAATATTGTTGGTTGTTATGTCAAATTTGAGGTCTTTGATTGTAGTCCAGAAGAAGATGGCAGATGTATGTGACAAAACAGTCTTTCAGAGATTTTCTGACTTGGTCCAATAATCTTTTCTGGAAATGATACTGTAGTTATACAAAAGTCAAGTGATAGTCTGGCTGTAGATAAAGCCAGAGACATTCTTTCACCCCATGTCATTTCTTTATGATGGATTTTGCACCTGTGCCTATCTTTGAGCAACCATCTATGAGAATCTGTGAAGATGATTTTTCTCTAGATTTGAAGTCAATTGTGATTGATGAGCATGGTCATGCCAAAACTGGCAATGCCTTCAGCTTGTGTGTGTCTAGAGTGCCCAGTCTTTTCAGAGAAAATGATAACTGATTCTGTTCTACAGTAACAAATGCCTGAAGTCACATGTTGCAAAATGTGCCTGTCTGGGCAGTGCTCATGTTGTGTATGGTTGTGGCGGAATATGTTAGAAATATTTCACAGGTGGTAGGACACAATCTCCAATACTGATAATGGAGAAGGCACTTCAGTTTCAAGGAGAGAGAAGATTTGTTTACAATGGATATTTATAATCCAAGGCTTATACTTGAGTAAAACTTTTTTTCAGCAATTCTGGTACCAGTGATTTTGATGACAAGATCTGAAGACTGCAAAATTGGCATTAACTCAAGTAGAGCTAAGGGGCTAGAGAACAGATGTTAGTGCTTGTGCTAGATAGATTGGTTTTGAGTTGTCTCCTGAGTCTGCTACTCTTCTGTTGTCAGTATCTCTGCCAATCTTCAGTAGTTTTATCTTTGAACAGTGTTATAGTGTCACCAAGACAAATGGCTTGAAAAATGCTGTTCTTGGCCCTTTGCCCCCCCTTGTGAATTGTCAGAGTTTCAGTAATGCTTTCCCTTGGTACCAGACAAAGTATCAAACAGTACTGTATTCCAAGCAAAGATGACAATAAATGTGTTTGTCTCTTAAAGCAGCTCCTTCCTTTAAGGTTTTAAATTCTGATGGTGCCTCAGTTTAACCACAGCTGAACTGTCAGTTGATATTTCTGGCAAACCTGATTAAAGATCAGTCCTGCATAAAGGTAGATTCAGAAAGCAGTTCCTTGTGAAGAGGAGCATGCGATGCTTGACCGGGACAGAGCCATCAAAGCACCACCACCATCCCAGGCTGTGATTCCCAAATATTGCCAGCCACCTCAGGCTGATGTTCTGCAGAAGGTGCCTCCTACAGAAATATGTGCATCTCTGTGGACTGGAAAGTGTTCTCAGTGAAACTGTTTCTGAAAACTGGCAGGAGAGAGGAAGCAAGTCCTTCACCAATGAACAGTGTAGCTGCAACAGGGAGAAGGCAAACAGAGAGGGGTAGCGCCCAAAAAAGGAGGCAGTAAGGAGGAACAGACAAACATCTGGGGTAGAGGTTAGTCTCACCTGTGCATCATCACTGCAAAATATTGTAGTTACATTTCAAACTCTTAGGTATTGAAGGAAATGTTGGTTAGGCATGAATTATCAGTGTCATCAATGTGTCATGTCTGCCACTTCCTAGTTTTGGGGGTTTTCAATGGATTCTTCAGGTATTCCTGCTTTCAGTTTATATTGCTATCCTTATTCACATATCTTTTCCATCTTACACAGTGATAGCCATAATTAAAACTGGAGAGTGTCCTAGCCAATATTTTGAAATTTGTCCTGTTCTAATAAGTGCCATTTTCTCGTAACTGAAATAGATGTCTGAGACCTCATGCCACTTTTGTTTCAATTTTGACACAAATAACCTTTCTATCTTTCAAGTTCTTTCATCCTAATTAATTACAAGATTTTCCTGTTTTGCCTGTTCTTTTCAAGAGTGTTAATCTGTCATTCAGTTTGGAATGATGTGTGGGTGAACTAATGATTCCTTTTGTTCCTATCATCACACTCCTGATAGCCTTTTCAGGCTTTGCAGCATATTTTGTCAATAGAGACAACACCCTAAATCAGGAAACAAATGAACAAATGAATTTTGTTATTCATTGCACACTGAAAACTCAATTTCAGCATGTGCTGGTAATTCAATTTCAGGGGTCATTCTTTAGGATGTGCATCTGTGTTTTAACAAGCAATCCTCTTGCACAACTTAAAATTAACTGTGAGGCAAAATGATTATTTTATCAGGAAATAAGGGGATTTTTTCCTGGAAATTTAGAGCAAAACATTAAGCATAACAGAAAGAGAGAGAATGAGAAGTTGCAAAAATGGTGTCCAATTACACAAACATGCAGTAGTTTAAATGAGCTGCTTTATGGCAGTGTGCCACATTGATGCTTTCTGCTGATGGAAAATGACATAGAATAGCTCATATTGGTATTTTTCAAAATTAGTACTTCTGACCAGGACCATGAATTTGTGAGCATTAATTACTCATATTTATTCATGATTTGAATGTGGTACAAAAACTGGATTTGCAAGTCTCGGAGAAAATGTACCAAGTTGGTTTGAGGCATCCTCTCGGCTACTAAAACACTGAAAAATTTTAGGGGAGCTAATAGCATCCCTGCTCTACACAATATAAACCTTGCTGATGTGTACAAAAGAATCTTTTCAATTAATTTTGACAGTTCACTCATGGTACAGGGGAAGTGGGTGAGTGGCTGTGTGGTCCTTAGTTGCTGGTTGGGTTTAAAACATGACAGAAATGTGCAGTAGGCCATTAATTAGAGAGGCAGATATTAAAAAAAAAAAAAAAAGAAAGGGGTAAGTTGAAAGATACTTATTGCTATCCTTGTTCTGTTGAGCAAATAGGCAAAATAATTTCAAATGTAGCATTGGGTATTAAGCAAGACAAAGAATGAAAGAACAATAAGGGAGTTTAAACCTTTAAGATAAAGCTAAACAATATACTTCAGATAAATGAATGAATGAATGGGACAGCTTATTAACCTCTCAGTGAAATGTAAAGTATACAGCATCTCAAAATTAGAGACAAAAGTAATCAAAGCCTGAAAAAAAAAATAGAAAAGGCAGCTGAATAGCCTGTGGAGATTTATTATAGTGGTATTGCTTTCTGTTTGTGTTAAACCCAGTTTTGTCTCTCTGGTAAAGAGATTATTCTGGAGATTTTATATTATTGTATAACAGATTGATTAAACTTTTGAAAAATTTGGAGAATGTTTATAGAGGTTTTATGAAAAGACCAAAAAACCTGGAAGTGAGGTGCTGTGTTTTAAAATATAAAACAATCTGCAGTGTCAGCCAAGGAGGGAGCATCACATTGAACAGCCCCCATGGGACCTTTGGACCTTGGAGCTGAACTTAGATAAACCCCATAAAACCCTGCAAAAACAAATGTGCAATAACCCCAAGACCTTAAAGTAGTTATGTATTTTGGAAGTATTTCCTTACTCTGAGCCATGGAAGAATTTTGTAAGATGTTCAGCACAAGCCAGCACAGTCACCCTTCATTTTGGCTGATCTACATTAGCTTTTCAGACAGGATACAGTATCT